TTCGAAAACATTCATTAAAGTTTGTTCATTGGCATCATTGCTATTTCAATGGGTTTTAAAATGGCACAATATCATAGTTACATGGTAATCCCAATTTCTTTGAAGCATATATATTTAAATATGGAAAATTATATTTCGCACACACTTTTCCCTTGTAGCGAGACTTGAACACGCACCTCTAGAAAGGGTAGGGTTATGAAACACCGCTAGACCAATGACCCTTTGGCTGGTAATCCAATTTTGACAACAGCTTTTTTGGAAATCTCTGACCAACATCCTTCAAATGAGAAGATCACTCGCAAAACTAAATTGTTCATAGAATTTGTTCATCTTTTCAAGGAATATCAAACAAGAAAGATTGATTTATGCATTCTCGAACAATTTGTATTTGTTTTTGTTAAAATATGTATCTTTCTAATCTTGACTAACTTAAACTTCTTTCTACTTATTTTGACAGAGAATTAACATGTTGGAGTAGAAAGTGTCAAGTTGGAAAAGTCTTGTTGTTCAAATAAAAGAGGGACTGCGCCTCATTTCTTGGAATAGTCAGAGGGTAGCGGAGTTATTTCTAAAGTTCTTCAAGGACCAAAGTTGGAATTCCTAAAATATATATAACGCGTGTTTTTGGAAGATCCGGTTCATATTTCACTCATTTTTATTTCAAGAGCTCTCATCTATTGCTCTCGTCATCTCTCTAGCTACCTGTTTCTCTTTCTAAAAATTTTCTTCGCATACAACATTATGTTGTTCTTATGAAGTTTAGATCTAGTTAGAATAGATAGTTTTGTAATCAGTATTCTTGTTTTTCTTGTTTGTATGATTGAAATAAAATGTTTTTCAAATATCTTTAGTTTTAACATGGTATCAGAGCATTAAGGTTCATTTCTTTAAAAATCTTTTTTTTTCCTTTTTGTTATTCTCTGTTCTTGTGAAATCAAATACGTGACTGGTTAGGGTCTTCTCGGTTTACGAGCTCGTAAGATCTAGACCACCGGTTTCCCACCTTGATATTTGATCTTTGTTCTAGTTTCGTTGTTAGTTTTGAATGATAATCATTGAATGGGTTGTGTGCCTTTCTAGATCCCTTCAATCTGCTATGGTCCCCATTTCGAGTTTTTTCCTGTTTGGTTATTTTTCTAGATTTGTGTAGTTCTCGTTATTAGCTAGAGTGAAGCTTATATGATCGATCTGGTTGTATACCTTGTTAGATCTCATAGATTTATAGTGGTCCCCTTTTCGTGAATGTTATGTTCTTCTTTCATGTTTTTCAGATATGTGTAGTTCTTGTTATTATTAGAATGAATGTTATATGATCGATTTGGTAGTGTACCTTGTTAGATCTTATTGATCTATTGTGGTCCCCTTTTCGTGATTCTCCTATTTTTCCTGTTGTTTGGATCTGTTTGTACATGTTCTTCCAGATTTGTGTCCTTATTCTAGATCGGTTTGTGCCAGTCATTCTCTGGTTCAGTTTATTGTTGACTTTAAAAGTTTCCAAAGACCCACAATTTTCTCTGTGTCAATCCATGAATCAAGCATACAATATATATATAGTTACAATGCCTCAATATTAGGCAAGAGATAAACAAGGAAACGAATAATCTAGAATATCTATACAATCTATACTATAAATACATTCTAATAGTCCCCCTCAGTCTGAACGGTAGGAGAACGAACGTTGAGACTGAATCTGAAATGTTGAAATAATTGTCTAGGTAACCCTTTTGTGAATATATCGGCGAATTGAGAAGATGAAGGAACGTGTAGCACACGAATATGGCCGATTTGCACCTTTTCCCGAACAAAGTGTATGTCGATTTCAACGTGCTTGGTACGCTGGTGCTGAACCGGGTTCTGAGTAAGGTAAATTGCAGATACGTTGTCACAGTAGACAACAGTGGCCTTAGAAATAGGCACATGAAGCTCTAAAAGTAGGTTACGGAGCCAACTTGCTTCGGCAACAGTGTTGGCGACACCTCAGTATTCGGCTTCAGCACTAGATCGGGAAATGGTGGGTTGCCGTTTGGAGGACCATGAGACAAGGTTGTCTCCCAAAAAATATAGTACCCGGATGTTGAGCGTCTGGAATCCGGACATCCGCACCAATCGGCGTCAGAATACGCTGTGAGGGACTGAGCGCGGGAGACATGTATGCGCAAACCATGATCAAGGGTGCCTTGGATATAACGAAGGATGCGCTTCATGAATGCAAAGTGTGGTTCGCGAGGAGCATGCATAAATAGACAGATCTGCTGTACTGCATATGCTATATCAGGGCGAGTAAAAGTAAGATATTGTAGTGCACCCGCGAGGCTCCTGTACTGGGTGTCGTCGGCTAGAAGCGCACCATCGGAGGCACTGAGCTTGGATGACGTATCAACCGGTGTAACGCATGGTTTGCATGATGACATGGCAGCCCTGTGGAAAATATCGCGAGCATACTGGGTCTGAGATAAAATCAATCCGGAGCTGTCTCGGGTAACCGTGATCCCCATGAAGTGATGTAAAGGCCCGAGGTCGGACATAGCAAACTCGCCGGAGAGAAGAGTAATAATATGATGTAATAAAGAGCTGTCAGAGGCAGTTAGGATGATGTCATCCATATATAAAAGTAAGTATGCCATGCGCCCCCCTTGGCGGTAAATAAACAGTGACGTATCACAGATGCTGTTACGAAATCCCCGGGATAGAAGAAACGTAGAAAATCTGGTATACCATGCACGGGGGGATTGTTTCAACCCGTAAAGAGACTTCTTGAGTCTGCAGACATGAGGGGGGGGGCATTCGCGTTAACGAATCCCGGTGGTTGATGCATGTAAACCGTTTCTTCAAGATGCCCATGAAGAAAAGCATTTTTAACGTCTAACTGATGTATCGGCCACTGTTTAGAGACGGCCAAGCTCAACACTGTTCGTATAGTGGCCGGTTTAACCACCGGGCTGAACGTGTCATGACAATCGATGCCCACCGTCTGTGATTTACCATTAACAACCAGACGGGCTTTGTACCGTTCCAGAGTGCCATCGGACTTGAACTTGTGTCGGAATAGCCACATACATCTAATCACCGGGCTATCCGATGGCCTGGGAACGAGATCCCACGTATGATTTTCCTGCAAAGCACTAAATTCACTATTCATGGCACGTAGCCAATTCGGATCCGATAAAGCTTTAAGGTAGGATGTGTGTACGGGTGAGATGTTATTTGAGGTGTGGGTGGTTGATAAGGAATATTTGGGGTTGGGTTTGAACACACCCTGTTTTGCACGGGTGGTCATGGAATGAGTGTTAAGGGGCGGTGGAGGGTGGGTGACTGAGGTAGCTGCTGGAACAGTAGGTTGGGGGGTGATGAGGGTTCTAGTGGGCTGGCCGGATGCAAGGGGGAGTTGGGCCGTACGGACTGGGCAGGGGTAGATGTGGGCAGCAGTGAAGTGGGCTGATGTGGGCCGGAGGGTTGGGCCAAAGGAGGATCGGGTTTGCTGGTTTGTAGAATTGGCACAGTAGGGTACAGTTGGGGTGATGGGAGAGGGGATGGGTCCTCGTCAAGAAAAGTATAGGTAGTAGGAGTGGACGGGTGGTTGAACGGAAAAGTGTATTCGTCGAAAATTACGTGACGAGATAGGTGGACACGTCCCGTGGTAGGATCGAGACAACGATAACCACGATAACCGGGTGGATAGCCAAGAAAAATGCATCGAATAGAACGGGGGTGAAGTTTGTGGGGTTGAGAGGCGGAAGTGTTTGGGTAACACGCACATCCAAAAACACGTAGATGGTCGTATGTTGGATGACGGTGAAAGAGGATGTAGGCGGGAGTGGTATATCTCAATCGTTTGGATGGGAGGATGTTGTGTAAGTATGTGGCCATATGAAGGGCTTCCACCCAAAAGGTAGGTGGTATGTGGGCGTGAATTAGGAGAGAGCGGATGATGTCGTTCAGTCGTCTAATCATTCGCTCGGCTTTACCATTTTGGGGGGAGGTTTGTGGGCAAGAAAACCGCATAATGAGACCATGGTTTTGAGCAAAGGTTTTGAAGTTGTTGTTATCGAATTCCCCCCTAAATCACATTRTAGGGTTTTAAGGACACGGTTAAACTGGGTGCGAATGAGTTTGTGGAAGTTGGCGAAAATGGAAAAGGTTTCTGATTTATATTTAAGAGGGTATATCCAAACGTATTGAGAAAAGTTGTCAATTAAAACCATGTAATATTTATAACCAGAATTGCTCAACACATGTGAGGTCCACAAATCACAATGAATTAAATCAAACGGAGCAAAAGTAATGGAACTAGACTCGGAAAAAGGTAACCGTTTACTATTTGCAAGTTGACATGACGGACACACAAAAGAATTACTAGTCTTATGACAATCAATAATAGCATGACGAGAAAGAAAATCTAATATATTAGCACCAGGGTGACCGAGACGATTATGCCAGGGAGGAGCGGAAGATGATGTGCTAAGGGCTTGTGTTGGTGGAGAGAATGGATATAAGTCCCCCGTGCTATTGTGGCGGGAAAGGTGGGTACCCGTCTTGAGATCCTTCAAAGAAAAACCATAGGGATCAAATTCGATAGAAACTTGGTTATCACGAGTAAATTGTCTAACGGAAAGTAAATCTTTGATAAGGGTTGGTGCATGTTGGATATTTAGTAAGCGGTAGGTTTTATTTAGGATGGGGTGCAAGCTATTACCGGACCCCGAGATSGGCAAACGATGACCATTACCAACAAATATAGTGTTTGAAGAGAAAGTCATAGGGGTCGTAATTTTACCTGGATTTGCAGTTAAGTGAGTCGTAGCCCCGGTATCCATGTACCAATTTGGATCATGAGAGACCTGCAAGTTTGTAAAGGCTTGATGTAGGTCCACTGGGCTCATTGCATTTAGCGCAGCCTGTTGGTTGAAGTGGGCCGAAGAGGGAGTAAGGCCAGCATTAGGAGATGGGCTCTGGTGAGGAAAGTAGGGGCCAACAGGTGGGTAGTTCGGGTAGATGGGTTGTTAGGCTGAAGCTAGGTTACCGAATTGGGCATGAGGCCCATACCATGGCTGTGAGGGATAGGGAGATGGGGGCGGGTTCCACTGACTGTAGGGAGTGGGTCCATTGTACCAGCACTGACCCGACCATTGTGGACGCTGTCCCGAGCCACGGCCCTTCCCACGACCACGACCGCCGCGCCAGTTTGAACCACGGCCGCGACCGCGGCCTCTGTTGGTGTCTTGATGGTAGTATTGTTGGCGATTGGGGTCATGCGGAGGCTGAGAGTTGGGTTGGTAGTTTGGTGCGGGAGTTTGGTAGTGAGGTGTAGTGGTGTTGTTTTGTTGAGGAGTTACCAAAGCTGATTGTTCGGGGTTTTTCAGGGCCGCTTGTCGATGTTGTTCTAGCTGTAGGCGGTTTCTAGCCTCATCCCATGATGGTGAGGTTTGGTTGAGGAATGTAGCCACTATCTCATATTCAGTCGGTAGGCCACGAACCATCTGCAAAACAAGACGAGTTTCACTTACCGGGTTATCCACGTCTTCAAGTTGTTCGGCAAGATCCTTTAGTTTTTGACAATATTCATCGATGGAGGAGCACTTCGCCAGCGTTAAGTTCGTAAACTCGTGCTCAAGAGCTGCGGCGCGAGAGCTTTTGTTGCTGAGGAACATGTTCCTTAACTTGATCCAGGTTTCCCTAGCTGTGGTGTCGTTCTCGATGAGGCGAACCACGATCTCATCGRAGACAGTACTATAGATCCACTGTAGGACAAGAGAATCAACCTCCTTCCATTCCGCATATTTAGGAGCGTCCTTTTACGGTGGAGGTACATTGGTGATGTGATCCATAGCCTTGTATGCCGTAGCATGTAACCGAAACAACTTAACCCAAGTTGAGTATGTGATCATTGTGCCATCTAGCGTTCTAACTTTGTTGTTAATGTTCGTAACATTGTATGCCGGATGGAGGGGCTTGAGTTTGGTGCTGCTTTCTGTGACGTTACCGGTGCCGGTCATCTTGATCGTGAGCAAGAAAAAAAGGAAGTAAAAAATAAAATTTGCAGGGATCCGAGGAAGAGGGTTGTGACGGCAATATTAGGGTAAAAGGTAATAGGCTCTGATACCATAAAAGTTTCCAAAGACCCACAATTTTCTCTGTGTCAATCCATGAATCAAGCATACAATATATATAGTTACAATGCCTCAATATTAGGCAAGAGATAAACAAGGAAACGAATAATCTAGAATATCTATACAATCTATACTATAAATACATTCTAATAGACTTATGTTTGTGTGTTTGGATCTATTTGTACCTGTTATTCCAAATATGTGTCCTTATTCCAGATCTGTTTGTACCTGTCTTAATTTGGTTCAGCTTATTTCTGAATCGCGTTTTGTTTGCTTGGATTTGATGTTTGTTTTCTTTTCTTGTCAAGATTTGTGTCCTCCCATATCTGGCTTGTATCTTGTTCTTAATAATTATTAGTTTGTTCAGGTGTATCCTCGATCCTTTATTTAGGAATCTTGTTTCCTTTAGCTAAAGTTAAAAGGCCGTTGTGGTAAGTTGTATTGATGCTGGTTGTTGGTGCAGGTGGCTCTTGCCTCTTCTTCTTTTAACAATTGTTAAAAGTTTATGTGGTAAGGCTTGTGGTTTTGTTTTTCTGTGTTTCTCTTTTCTATGTGCCCTCCTCTTTTCTTTTCCTTTACTTTCTTGTTTGGAATCTGAATAGTTAGCTTGACCTAATACATTTTAGTGTTTTATGAATCCTGCTTTATCTATTTATTTCCTTTGTGTGTGTTTGTTCTCTGTCTTTTATGGCTTCTCCACCAGTATCATCTAAAAGTCCAATGGAATCCAAAGCCACTAAAATAGACTTTTCAGATCCATTGTACTTACACCCCAGTGACACTAGTGGAGGTTCTCTTTTGTCTTTCAAGTTAAGTGGGAAGGATAATTACAGAGTCTAGTCATGTGCCATGATATTAGCCTTGGAAACTAAAAATAAAACTGGTTTGTCGAGTCTGTCGTTTGCATATGCTTTAGCCGTTTAGGTGTGGTTTGTGTTTTGTTTGTTCTCGTCACTTGTTTGTTGGTTTGCTTCTCGCAAACGTTCGATGGGTGTGGTTTTTTGTTTCTTTTGGTATACCTCTTTGTTGTACCGTTTTTGGCTGGTTATATATTGGTCTGCGTTAAAAAAAATGCTTCAGCATGAGTGATCTAACACAAGTAAGTTAACCATCCATTCATCCTAAGAACAGGTAAATCATAACATTTAGCTCCAAGAAACGATGAATGAAATATCATAAGATAAAAGACTCAAAGTTAGAATGTAAATAGGAAAATAAACTACTTTTAGGTAAAGAAATGAGCATGAAAACACTAAATAATTAGTGCATATCCGTAAGCATGTTGTCTTTTTCACTCGCCATCTTTTCTTCCCCATACTTACTTATTTTCTTAGTTTCTCTCGTGTTTGAATACCCACTCACTCTTATTAGGCCCTGTGATAAGGCTTTGATACCACTTATTGAAACTCAAAAGATATAAGAAAACAAATAGAGGTTGAGAGCCCAAAATCTTGACTTTATTGAATAATTTGAAGGCTTTATATATAGCCAACTACAACTGAAAAAAGCTAGAAATCAGCAGAAAAATCACCCACGATATTTGACTCCTAAAAAAAGGAAAACCTACTTTGAAATAATCAAAAACAGAAAGAAAGAAAATGCTGGCTAATGTTATTTATTAAGGAAGAATAACACGAACTCAGCAACAAGAGCACTTGACAACAATCCAAACACAAATCAAATCCAAAATGGGTGACCAAATTCAATAGAGCAAGTGACTAAAAACGTAAAAGGGAGTGTACAAGATCTTCCACCAAACAAAACCTAAACCGAGGTTGCTTTATGTTTGTTGCATAAACCCGCAACACTCTCATAGATTTTTCATGGGTTTTAATTGATGTCGGAAAACCTCGAAATCAAGTAGGTTTTGGAAGAAAATGGAGGGTGGGGAGGGTTTTGATGGGTTCCGTCTGATTGATGAGGAAAGTTAGGTGAGGTCAAGGTAGTCATCGCAGATTATGGGTAGTCACCGAAAAGAAGTAGAGAGAGATAAAAATATGATTCTTGTTACGTTTTTAATAGGAAACAACAAATAAAAAAGACGAAAATATCCATCATTTAATAGATACAAGTTAACATCAGATAATATCAGGAATCAAAACCATACAAAAATACAACCTACAATGATTAATTTGTATCTAATAAACTCTAGGGATCAAAACCAGAAAAACACAAGCCCCACAAATGACGTTTGATAAGCTTCGGAATCATATTTTTCTTAAATAACCAAAATATAATGATTTTGAAAAATGTATTTTAAAAATACACTTATAATTATTGTTCGGGTTAAATTATGCTATTTCTTGCATTATTAAAGGGTTAGCCTCACTCGTAATAATACTTGTGTATTTAGTGATATCTCTCGAAGCTCATCGGTTTGAATCCCGTAAAATGAACGGAAATTTTCCCGACTGTTTTTCAAGATTCTTAAAATTAATCGAGATACGTACAAAATAACACGAATACCAATATTTGATTTCATATGGTTTAAAGAGGGAAAGTTGAGCAGGAAATGGAAGAATTGGACATCACCATCACATCATCTTTTGCGCCCCCTTTTCAGTTTCAGTCTCACACCTTCCACACACTCAACCATTAAATATAGAAAAACATATAATAATAATAATAATAATAATAATAAAATATGTTTATATTTAGGAATTTTACAAAAATTCTGTAAGATGTATGGTTTGCCAAATCCATCGAACTTCGTCCCTTTTTTGTTAAACGAACAAGCATTTTGGCGTTCACCCTTTTTTTTTACTAAAAGTTATATATTTTTGTCTTGTTTATATATATTTTTTAATTATGTTATTTATTTACTATTTTGATACAGAATATCATACAAACTGTAATCGACTTTGTGGTTTCATCTGTATGCTTTGATAAAAAAGGATTGGAACAACCAAAGCTCATACACAAAACAACATTTAAAATGTTATAAATTTTAAATATAAATCATTTTTTCATCTATGAACTTTAAAAAAATAATTGTTTCACCTATGAAATTTCTGGGTCACTTATCTATATCTATATTATCTTATAAAGCAAATTTAACAAAAGTCTTAAAATACTAAATGACCAAGATACCTTTTATATCATTTTTTTCATTTTTTTCACCCCCTCCTCTCCTCACATACACTCACCCTCTCACAACCCGATTTTTTTTAAAGTATATTTTTAAATTTACACTTTATACCCCTATAATTAGTTAATTAATTTACTTTACGTTCTTTACATTTAAATGTTTCATTTTAAATTTTTATCAAATTAATATACATAATCGTATATCAATTAAAACATGTTTAAAAAATACATTTTTATTTTAACAAGTTACACCATTATAATCGTCTCGTTAATACCTTCGAAATGAGTCCAATATTGAATAGTTTTTGACTTAATTATATTATTATATATTATATATACTGTGAAAAAATATTTTTAATATTTACGATTTATACTTTTATAGTTATTTATTTATATATATACTATATATTTTGGGGTTAGGCTGTCCAAATTGCATTGTATAATATGTTCTGAATTAATATGTTCTTGTGTTTTTTTTAAATATATATATATATATATATATATACATATATTAATTCAAATTTAATTTGAGTTTCTGGACAAGAAAGAGGGTAAACAGTTGAAATTTTATTATAAAACCCATTTTTTTTGTTTTTTCATGGCTTATGATCTGTCAAATTTGTAGTTTTCTTTATTGGTTTTGAGTGTTTATCTTAAAACTCAAGTTTCTTGGTTCTTTGCTCTTGGTGTAAATCGAACACATTTGTGGAGTCGTTTAAATATGTTGGATTTTAAACTGTCATACAATTTTTTTCATCGATAGTCTGTAATTGGAACAATAAATCTTATTTATTCAAATTGTATTAATATGTAAAGACCAAGTGTAACATATATCATCGTTAAATCTTATCTTATAAAACCAATGGAACTTCAAAATCGTTAAAATTCATGGCTCCCGCCGCATTGCACGGGTACACAACTAGTGAAACTACATTCATTATCTTTTTTACTTTTTTGTTTCACTTATAAATTTTGGTAAAAATTTAGAATAACCAAAGTTGATACACGAAAGAATGAAATTTAATTCAAAGAATAATGAATTTAAAAGATAAATGAGTTGATTATTATCTCCCAAAAATATATCACAAATTGTTCCAATATCGCTATTAGTTTAATTTCTTTCCATTTTTTTTATTAAATTATTGTTTTCAATTTCACCATGACCATTGATTAAAAAAAATATGAACAGTTTAGACGAGTTTGTAAAATTAGTATTAGTTAATTGATCAATAAAAAAATGTGGATATCTCTCTCTCTCTCTCTCATATATATATATATATATATATATATAGACTTGGGATCATGTGAGATCAAGGGTTTTTTGTGAGATCCGTAAGACTAATTCTCAATCATTGGATTAGATCTACAATCTGATATTCTGAACATTCATAAACGCCACGAGACTTCTCAATAATCACAAAATTGTCAATGTGCAACTTTAGACCATTAGATCATTAATTTGTAAAATTGATCAATAAACATAAATTGGTCTCACGGGCCTCAAGAAAAACCCTTGGGTTCACGTGAGACCAAGGGTTTTTCGTGAGACCAATTTATGTTCATTGATCAACTTTATAAACTAATAATCTAATGGTCTAAAGTTGCACAATGGCAATTTTGTGATTATTGAGAAGTCTCGTGACAATTTTGTGATTAAGAATGTTGAGATTATAGATCTAATCCAAGGGTTGAGAATTAATCTTGCGGGTCTCACGAAAAACCCTTGGTCTCACGTGAACCCAATCATATATTATATTATATATATATATATATATATATTATATACTAGAAGCGTACTC